TACAAAGAAAACAAGTTCAAACGGTGCAAACATGGTAACCCATGATTCTGGCATCGTGGGGGCCATGCGATGGTTCAAACCTGCATATTGACATCTCAGAAGAACATTAGTGATGTTAGTTTTTATTAAAGCATGATAAAAACAAAAATATGAATTTTATACAAGAATGAAAACTGGTCAGGCATGCATGCGATTTCCAGGCCTCTTGGATCATCACAATCAATCCATTTTTACCCTATGATCTTCCTGGAAGTGAATGGAATGGTTAGAATGCTTTGGAAACGGCTGCAAATAGGTTTTGCAAGTTGCCCTAGTTTTGAGTAATTTTTGTGAGTTTTTGGAAGTTTCTTGCACAAGGATTTTCGTGGACTCTTGTATCTGAATGTACAAGAATATATAGAGGAAATTAGGTCAACCCATTTGGGCTTGGACCCTTGCATGAGAGGTCTTGATTTTATTTCACTTATTTTGAATTTAAATTAATAAAAATCAAAAATAAATAAAATAAAAAGGTCAAGGGGTGTATGGATGAGATCTGAGGTTCATCATGAGGTGTATAACGCGCGTGGACTTTTAAATACAAGCCCAATAGCCCAAAATTCCAAGTTTAGTCACTTTTGGTTTCATGCTTTTTCTCAAAATTTCTCAACTTGCACCAATCATAACTTGCGCAATTTTTATCATTTGAAGATGATCTTGGACTTTTTGGAAAGCTCAAGTTGTCCTATACAATCTCTATTTTAATCATTTTTGCATTTGAAGATTTATCTTGATGTAAGTTTCCTTGAAAAAAGTGTCTTTTGTTGACTTTTGAAATGACCTATAATATACTGGCCCATATCTCTCAAATGAAGCATTTTTTGGACTTGAGCCTAGAGATACAAAGTTGTAGGGAATTGAATTTTCTTAAAAATAAGATTTGGTTGATGAAGCATATGAAAGTTACGCTTGGTCAAAGTTCAGTTGACTTCTCCTAAAGGAATGGTCAAAACCCTAATATAGCAACTTTTGAATCTTTGAGTATTTCTTGATGAATCATGATCAAACCTTGATCAAATGATGAATATGACTTCAAAATATTGATGTTGACCAAAAATATTGAAGTTTGATTGTATGTTGACCATAATTTACTTTTTGTCTAATACAACGGATTTCCAATCATCTGAGTCATTGACTGAGCAAACTTATTATACAAGGCTTGAAACTTGGTATGAGGGTACCTTGAGACATATGAGGAGTCATGAAATATACTTGAGGCATTATAAACTTGATTTCCCTTGAGAGAAGCAAACCCCTAGTTATGGGTTAGCTGCTTAGGAGGAGTTCATCTGGCTAAACCTTGAGTCACCTTGAGTAATTGAGAACCCTATAACCATGAGGAGGTATCTTGAAATGTTTTTACTTTAAAAATGGGAGGGAAAATTTTGGGGTACAACAATATCCCTTTAAAAATATCTAAATAAAATTTAGTTTTGAAATTTTTTTATCAAAGTACGACGCGGAAGCAAATTGTCGTCTTTACGAACATTATCAGGAAGCTCAGATATGCAAACCGTAAATCAAAATTAATTATGGAGTAAGAACGATTGTGAATTAATAATCTTAAATCACTTTTCAATTTATTAACCAATTAATCAATTTGACTTAGCAAGGCTATTTCCAATGATAAAATCAAAATAGCTAGTTTAGTCAATTTATCCAACACTTTGTGTGCAAGTGAATTTTCATAATTTTCCTTTGATTGTGTTGATACACAAAATCATTTATAACCAAAAGTGATTATAAGTTATATCAATACTTCAATTGAAAACAAAAATCAATTAGGAAAATTATTACAATTCAAATGATAACGCAGTTCTATTTGATAAATTCAATAAGAAAATCAAAGCAAGTAAAATTGAAACGTAAAAGCAACACAAGAAATTTGTCTTCACAGTTCCCCATTATCGTCTTCGTGTGTGGGTACATCTGCGTCTAATTCCAATAGAATTAGGATAATTCTTACTATGTAAAAAAGTTAATACAAGAGAAGTGTCTAAGAGCAACTCCATAAACCATGAACTTGTTGTTGATTCAACCCGTTCTCCTTCCTTGATCTCGAGAGAGACCAATACACAATAGATGAGAAATGACTATATGGATCTTGCTACTCCTTTGCGTTCTTTATCTCCAAAGGTTTTGCGCATCGTCAATCTCAAAATTATTGCAACACAAAACTTAGATTCAATCAGATACTCCAAGTTACTTCCTTGCATAGATTTCAAACACTCCAAGATTCTTTGAAAATATTTTAAGCACTTCAAGGTTGTTCACTTTACAGAAATTCCTTCTCGAACGTTTTGCACAAAAATCCTCAAATCAACCAATGATCTGGAAGGACAAACTTGAGGTTTTTTCTGGATAAAAACCCCTACAAAACTCCACCTAATACACAATTGGACACTAGCAATCCTCGTCTAGATAGCACCCTAACAGAACATTGTTACAATATAATATCAGTGTGTATGCATAGATTGGAGGAAGATGATGAAGAGAGAAATAGGCTAATTTTATGGTTTTCAACAAGTTAGAATAATGCATGAAAGAGTATTTGTAGTTTTGGAATTTTTAGGGCAAAGAGGGATAAATTTGAAATAAAAGAAGTTAAAAAGTTGACCAAGTAAAACAATATATGTCGACCTAAGTATCGTATGTGTCGACACATACGAGATTTTTGAACTGAATGTGCCGACCTGTGAATGCATATGTGTCGAGTTAAGAATTACAGAGGCTACAGGCTTTAAAACGATAGCAAATGTGTCGATCTAAAATATAGATGTGTCGACACATAAAATAAGAATTTCTGCAAATTCAAAAATGCTTCAGTATGTGTCGACCTAAAGAATGCTTGTGTCGACCGAAAAATTACAAAAGCTACAGGCTTTAAAAAGGCATTACATGTGTCGACTTGAAATACGGATGTGTCGACACATGCAACAAAAAAAGGTGTAGAAAATTGTTTTTAATGACTTGGATCATATTTGAAGTGTTTCTTAATGATTCTTAAGACCTCTAATTGTTAAGGAGAGCCACAAGACAATAAGATACCATCAAAGACTCAGAGGTGCAACATTTTCTCAGTTTTGACATCATTCAAAAACTTTTATCGACGAAGTTTGTACTCACACATCTGGCACAGTCTGTCCAGAGGCAGAAGGAGCCTGAGATGCCTGACTCCTTTCCCTTTGCACAGAAGCATATTGTGCAAGTCTGCCATGCCTCAACCTAGATGGTCTCTCAGCCATTACTCCTGCAGAAGTACAAAACAATCGTTAACATAAGGACTAATATTCAAAATGAAGAGAAAAATAGAAACAGACTAAAATTGGGAATGCATTACCGGTTTTCTTCAACGGTAAAATGAAAATCGAAAATACATTTTCGGTACGACCTGAAATTTCAGAGCTCCGCCAATGGCGAAGCAGAGCCACAAATGACCTCTAAATAATAGTCATTGATCATAAAAATGAGACTTCCAACATTTTTGTAATGACTCTTAATATTGAAAACACACAAAAAAACTCACAATTTCTAACCTAAATCACAAATTTGAGTAGGAATTACATAAACTCTAAAAAGCTCAAAAACAACTTACAATTGATGATGACTCTTGATTGAATGAGGTTGAACAGTTAAATTAACTGATGATTTACGATTCCTAACGAGTTTTTTGCGAAGTGGTTTAATTTTGTAACAATGGGGTTTGAGAGGAAATGAGTGTTGTGTGTTTTTTTTTTGTTTGAAAATGCTACTGTAAAGGGAGGGGAGAAGGCAGCGCGAACGCAAACTGAAAATATACTTTTGGTTGCCTTTGTAAATTCAATTTTGATTTATATCATGACTGGAGCTTGGATTCCGAGGCCAGACCATTGTGTATGTTTGGGGTGCAACCGAAAGTATATTTACGGTTGCAACCAAAGGTGTATTTCCGATTTGTACCCAACTTTTATATACCATATATACCTTGGCAAGGTGCATACCGAAAATAAATTTACAGTTTTAAAGAGTATTTTTGAAATTTCGCGTGATGCACTAAAAACTATAGACTGAAAAAAGAAATCCTCAAAATCTGACTGTCCCATTTTTTAATAACTCTGATTTTAAGAAAACATTTTTTGAAACAGTTTTAAGGATCTATTCAACATCCCCTTCAAAACCCGTCTCGCCCATATTCTCCCCCAAACTGTTATCACACAACCGTATCAGCTAATCTAACAACACACCTATCAAAACATGATGTGCCAATTTCAACTCCAATGGATTCAAGTATACCAAGCCAACTTGTGGTTATGTTGGTGAACAAGACATGAATTACAATTCTACTTTATCAATATAATGCACCAATGTAATCATGAACTCATGTAAGAAATATTGTTTAGATGAAACAAGAACATCAGTTTCAAAACACTGCCTCATGCTCAGTTTCAAAACACTGCCTCATGCTCGGTTTCGACAAAACTTCTAGAATCCCACATCATATATAGCACGAATCAGCTACTGGCGAGGCTAGACCTACTTTAAAATACAACTAAAATCTAGGCCACAATTTCAGTGAAAATAGTACAAGAAGTGAATGCGAAAAGAGTACAAAATTCACAACCACACAAATACTAAATATCAGTGAAACTAGTACAAGAAGTGAATGCGAAAAAGTGTTAGTATGCAGAACTCATTTAAGGGGAAGGAAAGGGAATAGAAAGGTAAGCTGATTCAAATCCGGAGTTGTTTATTTTTCAACAAGGAGCAAAACAAGATGAGGAGGGAAAATGAAAAGAACTATAATAATTACTGGCAAACTTGTCAAATCAAGAAAAACAGGACACTGAAAACGAAACACGATTATTTGTTTCACATACAAACAACAGATAATTATAATATTTCAAACCATTATTTGGAAAACTACTTGGTACTGAAACATAACTAGAACTAGAACAGGATATATGATACGATAATAAAGCGAATCATATTTTCTTGGCAGTGAACAAGCCCCACTTCTGCTCCCCGCGTTCACTCCTGATCTGCTTCGCCTTCCATCTCTCCACAATTGCATTGTAGTCATCCTGAAACAATTGAAGCTTATAAATTAAGGGAACACATACCTCAAAAGATAGTATCACAAAAGTCATCTGAGAAACTTACATCACTGAGGTCATGGATAAATTCATCCTTCTGGCTCTCGAGAGCAAGTAGCTCCTGTTGTAGTGTTCTCACGAACTAAACCCCACAAGTAAAATAAAGTTATTATTATAGCTTTAGGAGGACTAAAGAAAGGAAATGCCAGGCAAACTAGACCATAGAGTCAAACAAACCTGATCAGTTCGATCCTCAACAATGACATCAAATCCAGCGTTCTTCAGCATCTGCAGATGATTTAGAACACAGATTGTCATGCAAAAGAAAAACAAACTCAAGTGGTGTCCGCTGAAACTAAATGGGTGAAAGAGAATCAGGCAATGCACAGACCTGCTCATATTCTTCCAAATCATGGAGATAATATCCTCCTTCCTTAATGTACTCGGCAAAATCTGATGATGGACTTCCAGCACTTTTGCAGTAATCAGTAATTAGAAGTTGACCTCCAGGTTTCAACCACTTGTAAAATGATCTAAATATTGTTGGTTTGTCCTGCATTAATCCAGAGTAAATTGCAGAAAAGAAATGTCAAGAATTACGAGAATATCAAATAAAAAATTTATATTAAATGAACTAGAGTATAGACAAAAAATAGCATTGCTTTAGCCAACTAAATGGTTGATCAAAATTAAAATCCATCATTCTTTTTATTAATGGAAAACCAAGGAGACCAATGCTTTGTTTGCTTGCAAGGGTAAGAACTGAGAAGGAATGACATTCAAGAGTAATAGCGTGGAGGACCACTGCAAAATCACTTTCACTCATGAGTTTTGAAATTCTTTTATTACAAGCAATGGTCACGGAGTAAGGATATACAATTTGATAATGTACCTCATGGTGCTTTAAATAAATAACCAAGATGCTTACAGTGACATACACCTATGGCTATGAGGACAAAGCTATCAATCTATATATTCAAAGCTCTAAAGCTTACTAAATCAACAATTTAATTAAGGGCGAAAAAGAAAATTCCTTACTTTGATGTGTAACATAGCATCACGAGTGTAGATTACATCAAATGTCTTCTCAGGATATGTTTTTTTAGAGCAATCAACACAATCAAATTCAACATTGTATTTCAGTCCGATGGCACGTTCAATAGCACGGGAAATCATATTTATGGAGAGGTCAACACCAACAACCTCAACATCAAACTTTTCAGCCATGTAGAAATCGCCTCCACCAACACCACAACCAACATCCAGTACTTTCTGGCCAGCCTTTAATCCCAGCTTTGCTACAAATTCCTTTGTTGTTTCTGCCCAAGCATTAAGCAACTAATGGTTATAAACATAAACAAAATATTGAAACGGAAGAACTTCTTCACCTTTGAGATTCTGACCGTGATGATAAATATTTCAGATGAAAAAAGACCAAGAAAAAGTACAGCATCCTACATTCAGCAGTCTAAGAACAACATATCGTAATTAAAACTTTGACAGAAGTACAGCATTAATCATTTATAAAAACTAAATATAATCTCATCAATAACCATATCAATGTTAAAACGAGTTTTTAATCTGACTATATACTAGAAATAAATAAAAATATGACATGTAAAATAAATTAAAAACAATTGAATTTAAAAATTAAAAAAAAATAGTAAAAAAGTATCGTAAGAGCATTTATACTTGAAGATTAACAAAAAGGTACAATTACGCATTTCTCAAAATTTTAGATAATATAAATTATAATATAATTTTTGGAAGAATAATAATGAAATGCTAAATTGCATGCATATGACATATGTGTACTAAATATACCAAAATCATAAGACCTTGTGTACTCATAAAGCAGCATATCACTTAACAGCAAGTCAGCCAGTCAGTATAGTTTTCATTAGACAGGGTAAATGATAAGGAGAGTGTCAAGGAAGATCATTCTTCCATGTCAATTTGAAGCAGAGAAAGGAAAATACGAAGGCATACCAAGTCCTCCGGCGCTTATAAAGCCTCGACCATAAATATGCTCATATCGTAAAATACTCTTCTCGCTATATTCAACTCTGTCTAAGAACTTCTGGAACCCTCTATCATCATGTGATCTAACTTTCTGCCATAACCAGCAAATCTGCACCATGGAAATATTATTGTACATGTAAACATCAGTCAATTCACGATAACAATTAGGTGAATTGGAAATCCTGTTTTATTACTTGGTTTTGATTCTTCTTATTTCGAACATAAGCTCCAATGCATTTACAACCCACAAGAGAAAGTTCAAAGGAATTCCCAGAACTATCAGTCATTTGGCATTCTTTAAATAGCTGCATGAACAAATGAGAGGGCAGATCAATGTTAACAAACCAACAAGGAATTGCAAAATATAATCCAACAAGTGCTTGACATTGACCCAGCACTTCAAATCCAATGAATACTCAAAACTTCAAACACACATTCTCAGAAAATCTGAAAAAACTATAACACAAGACACCAGCTGTAAAATTCAGGTGAGGAACTTGTGACCTTTGGCCCGTCTTAATCATCACAAAACATTCCCATTAGTTTGGGTCGAAAATGTTTTGAAACTTCTTTATTTAATTGAAAGGTTCTATCCCAAAAATAGAAATCTTACGCTACAATGAGCACAATGTCAGTCTCTTTTTAATCAAACATTAATCTGGCACAGACTAAAGGAAAGAGGTAACTATATAGAACAAACCTTTGTGTAAAATCTGGGTTCCCTGTAGTGAGTAGGATTGTAATTTCTCTTCGAATCTCCAGATTGATGGAAACAAGATTCACGGAAGAATATATATCCATCATCTTTTAACCATTTCATCATCCTTTCTGCTAAATTCTCAACCTGAAGCACAAAGGGAAAAATAAAAGATTAGTTATATGCCACAAAAGTCATGATTCTTAAAATGAAATTTTTTTTTCCAGATCAAAAGCATGATCATCAACAGATAGTCTGTGTTTTTGATCAGTACCACCCAAAGCCTTAACAACAAAGAGTAGAGGAAATACTACACAGTTTTCCCCAATAATTGATATTACACAAATTCTCTGATGACACTACAACGTTTCTGTGTAATGGAAATTAAAATTTATTCTTGCTTAGAAGTTTTTGAATTCACAAAAACCACAAAGCAGCACCAATAAAAGATACATAGAAAAACACCGGAGTTGATTTTATATTTACAGCATGTTTACTGTCAGTTGAAACCATGAGCCGTTACTTACTCCTCAGTTCATACATCCTGTTGACTTCAAAATGCCTTAATTGAAGATAAAACTATGAAAATTTTGTATGTGAGCTCTAAAATAAACAAAACTGACCTCTTTATCTGAAAGATACATTAGCAACCAATTTGAGAAAATCACATCAACAGATCCTTCAGAAATAGGCATGTTTGGAGATGTGACATCGGCACACAAAAACTTGACATTTTTGTAGTGTCCATTGATGCTTTCATTCTGCAGAACATTATAAGTGATTCAGATTACTTCACAATAAGTGTGTTATGTTTGGGTGTGTGTGTGTGTGTCTCTGCATGCATCAAACATATCATCTCTCATAATGGTAGGACAAAGCAATGACCTTCTTTATTGCACTTTCAATGAAGTCTACAGCAACCAATTGACCAGCTTTCTGGGCCAACTCTCCAGTAAATCTTCCAATACCAGCTCCAAGCTCGATAACTGATTTTCCTTCAAATGCTGGAAGTAGGGAAAGTACCTGGGTAGATAAAACAGATGAGCACAAAAGCACTGTCTGACTTTACAAAATACATAACCCAGAAAGGGATAATGAAAGGGAACATAAAGAAATCCACAGGTCTCTTTATTAAAATGAGTGAAATGTGATGTATCTTAGTTGTAATAAATTCTCTCTTTTTCCTGTTGTCATACTTGCGATTTTTATTACATTATGAATTACATCAGCACATTATTGGGTGAAATTCCTTAATATAGCAAGTAGTGAAAGAGGCGTGTGAAAAGACAAAATAGGAGTCAAAAGTGTAATAAGGGCGGAAATTTCAAAATGGGGGAAAAGACAGAGCAAAGTACTGCAATAATGAGCGGAAATAGAGTAAAATACTATTTCAAATTATTCTTTGGGTTCAAAACGATACAACTAACTTAAGGGATGACCGTAACAGAATAATTCTCAAATTTGTGATGCGTATATATTGACTGTCAAGACCAGTTCCACTAACACCTTCACTGTATAGGCCCCATGTGTATGTGAATTGACACCGATGTAAATTAAAACCACACATATGACATTGATTAACTTTCACACAAACGGTGTTGTCAATGGCGGATAGCGGTCCATGGCAGAGCGCCAAAATCCTGCCACTTTGCGACGTTGTTATAGCGGAAAAATCTGCAATATCAGCCAATATTTACCACTGCGGCAGGCCCAAAAACAATCATGTATATCTGCCATAACGGCCATGGCGCCGCTATTTGATAACAGTGCACACAAAATGTATTACTAAATTGTAGGATTGTAGATCATATTACACATCCACAATCAAAGTAAAACATATGTTTTGCAAGTATGATGAAACATGATGAATAGGTAAAATTTGAAGCATTTAGATCAATAAAAATCACATTCCATACAAAATTATTCATAAGATTTTAAGGAGCGTAAAAATACTGCAATTCAAAAATGGAATCAACAGAGGAGATAGATTCGTATTCAAAGCTCAAAGCGTAAATAAATCTGAAAAGTACCTCAGGTCTTTCTTCCTTATCGAGATCGGAAGCTTTGGAATCGAGCATCATTGCCTCGACAGAGAGATCCGCACAATGCTGAATCCAGTATGATTTCTGAACTTCACGTTCATCCATGCCTGCAAAATTCAAATCGAAAATTGAAAATTGAAATAGGAATTATATGACATGAAGAAGAAGAAGAAGAGAGTTAGTTTTACCAGAAGCCATTGGAGAAGAATGAAAAGGTTTAGGTGAGAGGAAATGGAAATTGAAATGAAATAGTTTTAACTGCCTTCGATGGCGAGGCGAGATCTAGAGAAGCTCCTTGATCTTCGGTTATAGCCTCTTCCTCTCTGCCGCATTAATGGTTTAATCACCAACAAACAACTCTCTATCTCTATGCAATGCGCTACCTCCTTCTTCTCACCAAAACCTCTCTTTATATATACATCCTTTCATTTCATCCACCCCTTATCAAATATTATATTATTATTTTAATATAAGATATTTTACGCATATCAATATCAGATCACATCTTATAAATAATAACACAACAAAATTCATTTTTTATATTTACATTTACCTAAATCTAACAGCTTCTTTTTCCTTTGCAATTTTTTTGCCACGTAGTTGTTCTAAAACAACATTTAAATTTCTTATTTTTTCTTCTCATTAAATCTTAATTTTTCTCCTTATTAATTGCTTTTTTTCCCTTTACCTCATTTTCATCGTGGGTTCACCTTCATATTCCCCCCTTTAGCCCTTCTGTTACCGTATCTAAACAGAACTATTTTCCTCCGTCATTTACTTTGCAATCATTTCAATAACCGTCTCAAAATCATTTCGTAACTCCTTCATCTTTCAACCATCTAAATAATTATGGTTATAACCCTATTTATATTATCGCATATCTTCCTTATCGGTATTATTTTCTTCATAGAATATAGCAAAAAAAATATGGTCAGACCTGTGGAGAAAATAAGTGACATCAATGACAGCAAAAAGAATTATGGAAACTGGCAGTTAGGGTGCATCACACATGGAACGTTGTCTCCAACAACAAAGTTCATTTTTTAGATGATTTTTATTGATAAAGTTGTAATTTTTATTGTCTTTTCCTGTGCGTCAATGTTTTCCATGCTCAGTATATATATATATATATATATATATATATATATATATATATATATATATATATATATATATATATATATATATATATATATATATATATATATATATATATATATATATATATATATATATATATATATATATATATATATATATATATATATATATATATATATATATATATATATATATATATATATATATATATATATATATATATATATATATGTGTGTGTGTGTACGCGCAATGCAGGGTAGTGACATACATTTTGTTGTCCCAACAGCCCATATGTCTCTGTTTGATGAAAAACTCGCATTGGGCCATACTTATACGGTATCCAACTTTAAGGTTCATGCTAATGTATTGTCTTTCAAACCTTCGTCGCACAAATTTATGCTCAAGTTTACTGGAGGAATGTCTGTTGGAGATGACAACAAACATGAGATACCGGCTAAATTGATTGTGTGTATAACTTTTACTGACATAATCACTAGAAATTTTGAAAAGGATCTGTTGCTAGGTGAAATGATCTTAATGATGTTTACTTTTTGTTCTTTTGTATGATGTTATTGTTTAAATCTTGTGTCGATGGTGTTTTTGTTCAGATGTCATTGGAATGGTTGAGGGTATTGGGTATGCACAGACTCAGACAGGTGGCAAGAAACAACAAGTTAATATGGTATTGAGTGACCACAGGTTTGTGTTATGCAGCAATCAGTTCTCTCTATTATGATACATTTCCTGTAATGTTTTAACCGACTTTACTGGATTTTTTGGCTAGCAACAACACTTTGAATTGCACCCTTTGGGAGTCGTATGTTGAACAATTCATCAAGTATAACCAGGATCGGGCTGATGCGTCTGTCCCAATTGTTGTTTTGCTTCAATATGCAAAAGTGAAGGAAGAGGGTTAGATGTTTAACTTTGTTATTGCTTAATCAATAACCTGTATTTACTGAAAAATATGTGTTACTGTGTGAATGTAGGAAAGTATCCACTATCAGTGACAAACACATATCATGTAATTATGCTATGCCTCGATGCTGATTTTCCTCTGGTGAAAGAGTTTATAGACCGGTAGAGTAATTGTGTGACTTATAAATGTTGGATTACTCATTATGTTACTTGGTGATTTTATATTTTTTATTATACGTGCAGTATGCCTAAAGACAGTATTGTAACTGTATCCGGTCAGCTGGGCTCTAATTCTCAACTCTCATCTCAAAGTTCTGAAAATTCACAACTAACTCTTGTGTAAAAGTTGCTTTCTGAGGTCGTTGTTTTGCCTATCACTGACATTATCAAACTTCATGATGTATGCATTACTTTGCTTTGACTTTATTCTTTATTATTTCATCTGTGATGTTACATGTGTGTTTCTAATTTAGGATTTATTTTCTATCATGTCTATGCGGATCACATTTTATGCTACTGTGGCTGAAACAAAAGTTTTGGTTGTGTCTCCTTTTGGTTGGTATTACCGTGCCTGCCATCTCTGCCCTTGCATCGCACGTGGTGACGTTCCTCCCTTTGAGTGTGAGGCTGGTCATTCGACTGAGGCAGAGATCTTTAGGTTTTATCCCTTGCTCTTTGCCATTTGACTTTGATATGATGCTTAATCTCTCTTATGTATGTAATCATACTTATTATCCCATTTTACGTTTCATTTTTCAGGTACAAAATTGAGATCGAGGTTTCTTATGCAGGAAAGTGTTGTAACTTTGTATTTTGGAATAGAGAATGTGAACTGCTTTTGGGTGTATCTACTTATCAGTTATGTCATACTATGATCCAAGTTAGTACCATGAATCAGATTAATTAATTTTTCCACCATGTTTAAAACCTGACCCTGATTATTCGTGTTACTTCTTACACATGTTGGAATTCATGATGCGTTAGAATTTCCATTGGCGCTTAATCAGATGTTGAATTTGGAGATGGCCTTTAAGGTCAAGTGGCAGCCGCGTTGGAAGAATTGTTCGGTTGTTATACTGCTAAAAAATGACCCTTTCATTAAAGAGCTTAAAGGTCCATGGGAAGCAATTGAGGTATGAAACATCCATCTGCCATTTCTATTATGTTATTCTATGTTGTTTACATCTATCCGTCTGCATGCTCACCCTATTCTAATTGGGACACAAAAGCTAATGTTATGATCCCTCCTATAACAACAGAGTCGCTATAGGTATTTGTCGCACTATAGTTTTTTGTTGCTTCTTTGTTTAGTTGATTATATGTTATATGTTACAGCTACTATTAATTGTCATTAGGTTAAATAAAGCGTTGATGAAGCCAAAACGGATGCTCCCGAAAAATTTGATGTCGTAGTGGTAAACTTCATTGTTCTTTCATGTTTGTGGCTGATTATCATATATGTATAAAATTATATTATCCCTATGATTTATATGTTTTGTCTATTTCGATAAACAATAGGACGTCGAGATCACATCTGAGCATAAATCGGATCCAACAACACCTGTTGGAAAAAGACAACTCCCGGGTGGATCAAGTGAATCAACCAGCTTTGAAGGACTTTGTGACGGAGAACTGTCGTCGAACAAGCTTAAAATGATTATTAAGTTGGAAAAGGATGAATGGGCAATGCTATAGTTTCTTATGTGTGTTGGATTGATTTACTTTGGTTTTTCGCTAAAAGACTTACTTTAGTTTTGTGTTTCTTTTCATTTTTTATTTGGATATGTAACAACTGACTTAAGTTACCTTGGGTTGTAATAAATTCGTCTATTATGGACAACCTTATGTCATATATTGTGTTGTTTTTGGATGATTATGTGTGACACTTTCATGGTAGTTGTATTTACAAGTTATTGTTGTGCTACTACTACTACTATTAAACACATTATTGTCGTGCTATTACTGCTATTAAACACAAGATGCAGGTATGTTATTCTGGAACAGCAAATTTCTGGATAGCTATGGTGCAGTCAAGAAGATACATAGCTTTTGTAGTTTCCCTGCAAGATCCACAATCAATCCTCCACTTCCACGATCTGTTTGTGAAATCGCCCTGATTTCTAAACCCCTCGCTACGGCTGAATCTGACTTGTGCAACTGTGACTAATAAACCCCCAAGAACACGCCCGTTCTTGAAGGACAAATCCTTTGGTTTTTCCTCGAAACCCCCTTCTGAATCTTCAACTCAGCTTAGATCATCGATCATACAGCTGAACGTTATCCCTATGATCTCTTGATCCAATGAACAAAGATGTTTATCTTTCGTTATTGTTGAACCAAGATGATTGAGAAGATGATGAAGATGAAGTATCTTTCAGGTTTCTAATTGCTCAGAAATTTGATGCGCACCAACTGTATATGTGACACCTTACTTTTTTGCTACAAAGACTTACTTATATATGTAACAGAAAACAGTTAGAGGTAAGAAAATGCAGTATGAGTCGATGCATGTTTAACATAAGTCGACACATGTTAGTTGTGAAATATAAGATGAGTCGATACAACCTGTTATGTATCGATACATATTGATGGCAAAATATATTACAGAGAGATCAAATATGTATAAGTCGACGCAAGTCTTTATGTGTTGATACAATATGTTATCCATAAAGAATCCATAAGCATTCATTTTATATGAGTCGATACATAACATGTATGTGTCGATACATACTAAGTTGATTTTTTATTTTGAAAACAAAACGTGATATGTGTCGATGCATGAGCTTATGTGTCGATGCATAAAGGTTTTAAAATGTTTTCCAGGATCATCAACTTGTCATGTATTAACGCAAAGTATGAATGGGTCGACTCATACTAAAGCAGAATTGTTTTTGTGATTCTTTGCTCAAGTATGTGTCGATACAAGACCTTATGTTACGACCTGAAAATGTACTTTATGTGTAAAACCCATTTTTGACTAAGTATGTGTCGATGCAAGACCTTATGTATCAACCTGAAACATAAGATGAGTCGATACAACATGTTATGTATCGATACATACTGATGGAAAAACATATTACAGAGAGATCAAATATGTATGAGTTTATTAGATATGTAAACATAGAAAGATTATTATTAGTATTGATTACCAATGATTATTAGAATCATAACCACATAT